GAGTTAACAACTCACTGGGAAATTTCCCATACGCCTATCCATGGCTCGAAGAGCAGGAATCCTCCCCCTGAACACGGTCTGTTCTTCTTCCAGATTTTTTGGGTCGGACGGAGATCCGTGTGGCCGACATCAAGAGGGACCAGGGTTCCAAGGGTCCAGTTACCAAGTGTCTCCTGCTGCATGAGGTCCCCACGGGAGAGATCGTGGTCCGCCTGGACCTTCAGTTGTTTGATGAACCGTAGGGGGCGTGCGTCAGAGTTCCAGCCCGGGCCGGCCGATGCCGTCTGGAGATGGTGTTGCTTTTCCAAGACCACCATTTGGTGTTCAGCCCCGGTGCAGCGGGACAGCAAAGACAGGCCCCTTAATGATTCTAGGAATAATTCTCGACAATCCTCCCCCCACCCCAAACAACTTCCCATTTTATGAAACAAAACTGTTTCCTTTATCGTCGCTACAGGTCTCATCATGGTGTCCAGGGTCTTGGAAATCTGGTAGCTCTCAGCTAGGTTTGGTTGGGAGTCTGGCCCGTCCCTGGGCCTGAGGCTTGGGCCTGGTTACTGTAAAACAGATTTATAAATAGAACATCTGTATTTTCGGAGAACTCATATAACCCTCCTATTTCTTACCTCCACCAGCCCCCAGTAGGACCCTTGACCCACGATGCCTAGTCCTTGGTGTGTTTAGAAAAAATTACGATGGTCACGTCAATGCTTCGGAATCTCATTACCCTACTGAGACCTTATTTGAAATGCTGCCCTGGGTCTGAGCACGCGGGAGATGGTCTCCTGATCGGGTGCTGCACTAGCCCTTTGAAGAGTTGGTCCATGGAGGATGCCGGCAGGTGCGTTAGAGCCGTTCTAGTCCCTTCCATGCCATGTACTGATAGGTGTCGATGAAAACTGTCATGAGCTACCATCAGGGGATTCGATCCTGATTTCCTGCACAGTTGGAAGATGGTTAAGGAAGCTTCTTAGCTACAGTTTTACTCTGCTGAATCAGATCATTGCAGGTCCCCTGGAAGGCTACTTTATCACGTCCCTGGGTCCTGGTTGCTGGCCCAGTTGGAAAACTCTCTTTTGGTTTAGAGGTCCTGTGATGTTTGGTGGCAAGAGTCATTGCCGGTGACCAGCTCTGAGCCTGTTCTTGCTTGAATGTGCCACATCCTGACTGTCCTGGGAAGTCTCAGCAGCTGTCTTTGGTACGTCCCCTACAAAGGCATCCGCAAAGGAAGAGAGAAAGCGACAATCCGGAAGTGGGGTGGAAAGATGTGAAGGAAATCCCTCACGTGGTTGGGGTGAGACCCTGGGAACATGCAGCCCCACAAGCCTGGGAAGGAAGACCTAAGACTGTTTGCCACACTCCGCCACACACAGCCAGCCTCTCAGTAATGGAAATCCACACGCCTCTGCCAGTTGGGAGTGTACGCCACATGCCAAGCTGTTTGGTTTGAGTTCTTTGATTCCACCCCCCCCACCCCCCTTAAATGCCGGGAGATAGGCTGGTTAACTAGCGAATAACTTGATTTGCGAATGAAAGGTGTGAGTCACTTTTTCGTTCGCACGTCAATGTTCTCGGAACCCCCATTTGTTGGGTCATGAAATGTTCTTTGCGTGTGCCCTTGGCACCGAGTCTCGCTTTCGTGTGTCAGCTGATGTTCTCTTGGATCGTGGGTCCTTAGGAATGAATTAGGGCTGTAGCAGCGCTTTATGAACGACAGCACCAGCGTGGTGGCAGAGCCGGGAGCTCTACGCATAGCGTCACGGTTTCGGGCGAGAGCCCTGTCAGTGTTTCAAGCAGTTTTTAAAATGTGTGTGTTGGGAAGGGCAACAAAGTTTACATTTCATACTTTTAAAAAACACTTTATTATTTATTTATGGAAGATAGTGTAGAATTTTGTATCAAGAACAATAGACATAAGTATTTTTTGAAACAAGCAGATGTACCCTTTAGTTAGACACTTTCAACTGAACACAATTTTAGACCACATTTAACTCCAGGCATGCATTTGTTTACCACTTCACAGCAGAAAACATGGTTAAAATCCTTCGCGTTTCTATTTTTTCGATGGTGTTAAGAAACTGTTTTAAATTAAATCTATAAATAGATGTGCAACTCATGCTTTTCCTATTTCTATAACCAGTAGAGTTTGTTCAGTGTGTTTCCGAAGCACATGCTTCACGGTAGAAACACAAGTATGTCATGTATGATGGAGCAGCGTCAGGTCACCATGCAATGCCTTTCTTTCTGTTCTCCCTCTGTGTTGACTTTCGTGTCCATGTCGGGCATCACCGTCCACGTAGGTAGGATATGGTGTGCACAGTGACAAACGTCCTGTCACCCTTTCAAGTCCACGTACTTGCAGAGTCCCATTATCAGAATTAATGCAGCATGAAAAGCAATAGGTGAGTCTTTTTCTCCCAGGCGACTACAGCGCGCATCCCTGAGAGGCTCCTCCGGAATAGCAAGTCTGGGCTGGTGTCCCGCACTCGCTGGTATAACCGGCAACGTAACCGGTAATGCAACCGGTCATCTTTCTGGATGAGTTAGGCTGGCCCTCCGATCCAGATGTGACTCATGACTTGCGTTGGGGGTAGAAGAAGGTGGGTGATGTCTCAGACTCTCTGACCTCGGCCCCTTCGCTTTCACCTGCTGGCTTCCTGGACTAAGTGTCATAGAGATGAAATGTCCCTTGCCAATAAGCAATCTGTCACCTAGCTCGTTGCTTTCTCAACACGGGGTTTCTCTAGGCCTCTGCATCCTGGCATTCTGAGCCTAGCCCTCTGAAGCCCTGCTGTCTTCTCTCTTCTCTGAGCCACCTTGACCTCCTAGCCCAACAAGGGGCTTTGCTGCTCACCGGGCTGTGTCCTGAGGACAGGGTCCCTGGAACTGGGGCTTTGTGGACCAGCAACTCTGAAGGGACAATCCATATTCCAGTCCCTCTGGGGCAGGGTTTCTGGCTGATATTGTCTCCCCTGGCACACAGGTAGGAAGGATCATCCATTGGAACCATGTCCGCTCTGACCACGAGAGCCTGGGAGATGTGATTCATTCAGATCCAGGGCTGGCCTGACATGGAAAAGAGGGGGCCTTCTAGGCTAGGGTCGCTAAGGACGCTCGAGAAGCTGGGCCGGGCTTCCCTGTTTGACTGCTTGGATGACATGTTCCTGTCCTCTGAAGGCGGAGGACAGAGCTGTTCTCCCAAAGAACATTAATGTTTAAAAGGGCATTTTTTTTCCTTCTTTGATTTTTGAGCAACTTAAGCATGACCTAAGTATTCAAAAGTAACTGATTTTATCTGGTTGAGTAGTACGGAACTTAATTTCCGACTTACCCATCAGAAAAGGAGCACTGTGTCCTGTCTTGGTGACCTGGCACCCAAACCCCAGGTGTCCTCTGCGGTGGGAGTGAGGTCGGGGGGATTAGGTGCTGGAGCCACCAGGGAAGGGTGATTGGAGGCCTGTTGTCCAAAGCTGGGCGGCTGGGTCACCTCTCCAGGTCCTGGCTGGGGCAGGCGTAAAGCCACTGACCATACAGAGGGGCAACATTCCAGATCTGACGGGGCCAGAGAACGAGGGGGAGTGGATGAGGTGCTCCCGATTTTATGTGACTGGTGGCAATCTTGGAGTATATTTTAAAGTTTGTCAATACCTTGCGTGAGGAGATTTCTCTCTGTCTATAATTTTTTTTCTGTTTGGTTGGGCCTTTTTCATTCAAGAAGAAAATTTGTTGGGGATATGTAGCAATTTTAGGGATTTCTATTCGAAACGGCAAGCAGGTTTTCCTTTCCTTTCTTATCCTTTTGTTTCTTTGTTTTATTATTTTATTTGTTTTATTATTTTATTTGTTTTATTTAATTTTATTTATTTTGGCTCCCTTCTCTTTTGGGGTTGGAGATGAGCGTTACAGCAGACACTAGCACTTTGAAATGGACACCTGCATGCGTTAGAGGTGGCAGGGCTAGAGGTGAGCTCCAGGGTGGCCGCGGGTCTGCTTGCTCTGGATGTACTCACTTCACAAGTTTGGAGCCTCCTATGCCAGAAAGTCAGGCCGGGAAAATAAATGGGCCTGGATGCTCTCATTCTGCTTATAGGTTTGGGAGCTTCAGCCCCTACCAGGCAGAAGCGGAGTTGGTGGCACCTGAAATGGTGACTCAGTAAATGGTGACTTAGATGCTGTGGCCTGAGGCACCCTGAGAGGTATTTGGTAAAAGCAGCACCTCTTCCTCTTTGTACCCTGGGGTGCTGAAATGCCTGGGGGTTTCTCCATACTCACGGGCAGTGCCCTGAGCCATGTTTTGTGAAGCCATTGAATATTGTGTAAATGGAGTTGGAATGTTTATTTGGGCTAGAGGAAAGGAAAGTTCTAGAACTCCCATTTCGTTTTGTCACCTGCATTATATCAGATCCGGGTCTGTTGGTAGGTCATCAGGCTCGACTAAGGTCCATAACCTGACATCTTTAGGAGCCGGAATCTATTCCTGATAAGCATGGAAAACCCATTCCACTTGAAGGAGAGAAAACATCTAACTGCTTTCTATTTGGGGAGCATTAACTCCCAGATGCCAACGCGTTGGAAAGTCTTATCTCTGGGTTGTGATCTCTTAGTAATGCTAAAAGGTCCCCGTCCTGGGCCAGGCCACCATCCTGGGGGCTGAGGGGTGATGAGGAGGGGACTTGCCTTTGTGGTATTCACAGCCTACTTGTAGGTCTCATTTTAAGTCATTGAAATAACACCCAATCGTTTGTAAAAATTCATCTCCACCTCCAAATAATTACTTCGGTGACATGCAAATTCAATCAGTCTCCCCCTCTTCACTCTGGCCTTGGGGAACCAGCTAATACCCACATAATTTTTTTAACACTATGTGTAGTTGCCGTGTTTCAGGGTAAATTTGCCCCTACAGTATGTTAGGGTGTTTCGTGAGTTGTTTTAAAATAGGATACTGTTCTACTTTCTATATCAGCCTATGGTGTTAATATTATCTGAATAGTGTGAATATTTTAGTATTCAAAGCCCAATACTAAACTACGCTCATAAGTGGGCTTATCTGGCCCGCCTTGAAAAACTTGAGCGTTTCTCTGATATTTACTGAGCGTTAACCAGTAACCAGGGTTTGTTTTTATGCAGTGGTAGGAATGCATATTTTTGTTGGTCTAGGAGCCTTAGTTTTGTACTCTTATCATTTACACCAATAACATTCCCGTCTGGCTGTGTTTCTAAAACTATGTTCCTTTGCATATCTCCTATTCTCCAATCCCTTGTTTTCTCCTGTTTCTGTACGTAAACGGAACAGGGGCCTGGGGCAAAGAGGGTGACACGGGAACCAGAGAAAGCCTGATGATGGCTTTGCAGTATCCGGTTTCTACCCTCTGACACCACTAGGGGGCAGTCTCCCTGTTGGAAACCTGCTGGTGGCGCCGGCACATCCCAGGGTGCGGGCTCCACCTACTGCAGCTGCGGGATGTTGCTGTTGGGTAAGTCACAGACCCAAAGCTGACGGTCTGAAGCTGAAGGCTGGAGAGGGAGCGAGTTAGTTAGCGGTGGGCGTAGGACTTGAACCCGGCACTCCTGGGGTACCTAGTGACAGTTTGCCCTTTCCTGCTGTTGGGGTTGGAGCGAGACCGGGGCCTTGAGCTGCATCTGATTTGGTGAGAGCCCTGAGACTCAGCCCTGCAGGTGTAGGTTGGAGGTGTCCCCCACTGCTGGGCTGAACTTCTGGGGCTCTCTCCCCAGCAAGGGTTCTAGAAGCCAGGTCCCCTCCACGTGGATTGGTAAGTCTCTACCCGGAGACTTGGATTTCCAGAATTTCCGATGTGAAGAACTGTGGAGGGATGCAGAGCTCGTTGTGTGATGTGTGTGTGAGAGTGTGCGTGTTTGCACGGCGCCGGGGAAAATGACAGACACGTGGCCTGAACGGGGAAACGGGTTGGTCTTATCTTCCCATACGCCCTCTCGGGGCCTGCTGCATCATTTGTGGGCTGAGTGCAAAGTGAAAATGCGAGGCTCCTTGTTCAAAATTATTAAGAATTTCGAGGGGGTGACAGCAGAGAATTAAACCGAGCGTGGAGTCTTCTAAGCACAGGGTCCCGTGTGACTGCAGGTCATAAGCCCACGAAGCCGGCCCTGATCACACTGTATTTCAGTCAGTCTTTGAAGCAGGTGGGGCTTCGTCGTCTGTCTTCTTACTTTGTAAAGTCTCCCTGGCAGGTTGTGGAGAGCTGGGCTGATAGACTTTTCAAAATGTCTGCCTTTATTTCATAAAAGTGCAAATGGTCTGGACCATTCAGAGGGTACAAGACCCGAGCCCCTAGTTGACAGATGTTCCTGGGGGGCCGGAGAGGGAGCCATCTGCCCAGTCTTGGGGCTCCCAGTGCAGGCACACCACAAGGCACCAAGAGGCCTTTGAGCTTTTACGAGTTAACCCACTGATCTGAAATAAAACCCTTCCTTTTGGTCTTTAGTCACCCACTGGGTCCCCCCTCCCCCCAGCTTTTCCTAGTTGGACAGAGAGGCTTTTCCAGCCTCTGCCTTTAAAGTGACCATCCGAGGAACGGGGAAGGACTCAGTGCTGCTTCCCCAGGGGCCGGATGCTCGTTTCTCCACCGCCACTCCCTGCAGAGAGTGTGTGGAGCCAGCTGCCGCCCTCCCTGGCTGGGCCACATGGTCCGCAGATGTCTGGGGCACCTGCTTCTGAGAGGCAGTCACCTCCCGCCTGTGGCTCTTGAGTAGGGTGATGTCAGGAGAAAGAACGACTGTGAGAGTAGCCTCAAGTTCTAGAAGACCACAAGCTGCTGCAGGCGGACGACCGTGGGGTCGATCGTCCTGTCCTGTGCTTGTCACTCTCTTTCACAAGCTTGACTGTGAGCGTAGCCTCAAGTTCTAGAAGACCACAGCTGCTGCAGGCAGACGACCGTGGAGTCGATTGTCCTGTCCTGTGCTTGTCACTCTCTTTCACAAGCTTTTTCTTTGCCCTGGGATGGATGCTCCCAAACCTTGGCAGTTCTGCTTGCTCTTTGCTGATAAGTCTCATTTCTGCACACACAGAGCAATAATCCTTTCTATGTTTCTCGATTCTGTCTGGGATGATAAAGTTTTTAAATAGAAAAGTCGACAGAAAGTTGAACAAAAAATTGCAAATTCATCTCATGTGGATTTGCATCGCTTTGGACGAAGTAGCAAATCATAGCTTTGTTTCTACGTGTGACACAATCTTTCAAGCTACTGAAAGCTCAGAAAGTGTTTTCTAGAGGCATTTAATGAATATTGTGTCAGAATTCGTTTCCATGAATGAACATTTTGATGTATATTTTACAAAACATTCTTAAAATGTCGTCTGCTAAATATTCACTGTAGCAAGATCTTTGGTAGTGATGTTTATTTTTACACATGCATCTACAACATACATTACCAACAGCCCAAGTGTCTTTGAACTGTGAAATAACTTCAGATCTTGTCGTCTGACGTTCCAGCCAGTTGGAGTCTATACCTCCCTGGCCCCTTCTTACCCCTTCATAGCCCGTAGATAGAGAAGTTGGCAATCATGTAATTCTCGTTATCTTGCCTTAGCTACATTAGCTCTGGACCCTCACATCTACTGGTGGTCAACATATATGTAAATACATGTATACAGATGAGCTGTCTGCAACAGAAGTGACCTGTATATGCTAATTAGCCCTCGGCTCTGGTTTCCTGCATTTTATGCAGTTTCCAGCTAAGAAAAATACAGAATTCCACTACGTAAAATGAAAAAGTCGTGCTCTTTAAATGTTATGAAATCTCTGCTGTATGTTTATGGGAATGTCAATGACCAAATGTATATATGGCACGTAAGAGGCTATGCTGTTAAACGTTGCAAAAACTAACAGATTCTGTAGTCAAAAATATTTAACTTGTTATCGTAAAATGTGATTTGTCATTGAGAGATTATTTTTCTGTATGTATATGAGAGTATTTTAGGTATCTAATTTAAGTGCATAAAACTATAGAAAAAAAATTAAAAACCTATTCCAGGAGTAGAAAATGCGTAATCAGATTACTTGGCTAATCTGACTTCAGGGTCACCTTTTACCGTTCTTTCTGGATAGATCAATATATCCCTTTGGTGTCTGCATTTTCAACGAATTTTCCTGGGGTATCTTCCCTGTCTTCAGCACAGAGCAGCCTCCTGGATGCCCAGGTCCCTGATGGGGACCCCAGGGGCAAAAGGCCGCCTCCCCCTCCCAGAAAAGGGTCGGAAGTCCAGGCTGTTTCCAGAGCACGGACCTCCTATACATGGCCATCAGAAATGTCCCTGTAGGCCACCTAGGGAGGGATGGAATGCAAAACCCCACGAAAGTCAATGTCTAAACCCCTGAGAGATGCATTTGAAAGTCATTTCAGAAGGTAGTAACCTGGGGCCCAGCCTCTCCTCGTTGGCTGGAAACAATGCAGCAGTGAAAATAGCCAGTTTCTGGTGAGATGGGGGCATTACACGTGGATCACTGTTTGTGGAAAGTTTGGGGCCGGTGGCTTGAAAGGACATACGGGAGTGTGAGCGTTAGGTTTTCAACATTTCTTTCCACAAGCTGTATGCTTCTTAATGCTGCCAAGTCCCTTTTTGATAGGCCTGGTATTGGTGAATGCTGGAGTCCAGTGATTTCCTGGACCTCAGGGGTGTGGGGAGCTGTGATTTCCAGAAGCTTCCTGGAATGTGCTGTCATACAAGTAATCTGCAGATCACCTCAAGGAACTGGAACTGTCCATGTGGATGTAGCTGACTTTATTCCCAAAGATGGAGCTGTTTAGAGATCTCCTTGTTTGAGCGTAGCCTGGGAAGGCCATCTTGGGCCAGCCAGCTGGACTAGCCGAGCCTGGTCCACCCGCCCAGGATAGGGCGGGGCCTTCTTCCTTAGCACCGTGCCCTCTTGGCTGTGAGTGGGAATGAGTCAGCCAGTCAACTGCCCCCTGGGCCCTGGTTGTTTCAAAAAAGTCTGGGGACAAGAAAAGCCAGAAGCATATGGGGCTCCTCTCCAGCACCCCTTACAAGCCACTCCAGTTAGGCTTTGTCTGTTTGGAAAAGAATGTATCGATCCTGACAAGAGTCCCTTGTGTTTCCAGTGACAAACGGGTCACAGTGCTGGTGGCGTATTGTTCTCCTCACAGCCCTGCCCAGAGAGGATGGAGTCCTGTTGATTGTAATATACTTCTGTTGCCAAATAACGGTACTGTTTAATTTTCCATAAAAGGGAGACTATATTGTCTGATATGTAATGTCAATGGAATTCTAAAAATTACTAGACACTATTACAAATTGTAGAATTATGTATTTGTCTAAGGTTTGATGAAGCGGGGCCCAAACATTAGGCTTCTTTTTTGTTTGTTTGTTTGTTTAAGAGAAGCTAAGGTTAGTTTTGCTGTTTGAGTGTTTCTTTGGCACCTTATTATGTATGAAATGTTAAATTTTACCGATTCAGATTATGGTAACTGTATTTTTTTCTTTTTTTCTTTCTTTAATCCAGTAGTGACATCAGTACAGATTGCTATTCCTGTGTATCTTAAACTAAAAAACAAAACAAAACAATCTCTTCCAAACAAACAACTCTTCAGTCATTTGGACCTGTATGGTTTAAATTCACATAGCTCATGAATAAAATGAGAGAAGCCAACCCTGTTACAGTGGATTGTTTTGGGTTCTTCTTGCCCTACCTCCCTTCTGAGCCAACAGGAAGTGAACAGCCCTGCAAAATGGCATCTCTTCCTGTGTGTTTCCTTCTTCCACAGATAAGGCAGTAGTTGTGGAAGGAAAATTATGCAAAAGTAAACTTTAAAAAACCAAACCAACAACCCTTTCACCTCTGCTATGCCTTCTTTAGACAAACACTAGCACCAAGCAGAAATCGAGTTCCCTGTTCTAGGTACCTCTGAGAATTTGAAAAGTTCTGTGTTGTGCCAGGGGCAGTGGGACGCAAAAAGCTAGGATTGTGTTATAAAGATATGCAAAAGGATTATTCTGGCTCTTCATGAAGAAGTTTCCAACACAAACAACTCAACCTGTTTAGAACTTTGACTTTTAACTCTGGGCACCACTAGCAACCCCAACATTGAATATTATTGTTACCTCAATTTCTGTGGATAACTTATAGCATTGTCTTCTGTTCTGGTTTTAAGGTTAATTCCTCCTTATCTCATCACCGATTTCTCTAAATATGATCAAGTCCTTTAAATTCTCTGGTTGGCTTGGACACTAGTTGAATTTATACACACACACACACTCTCTAAAGCAACACATCTTTGCCTTTTTAAATCAGTAGGCCCCAGTTTTGATAAACATAAAAATTTATGCCCTTTTCTTGGTTGTTTAAGTTTTAAAAATAAATTAAATGTCATTAAAAGCAAAGAAAAATAAATTACTTTCCCAAATTATGCCTACTTTTCTCTGAGATTGGCAAGGTCCCTCTGGCACAGTTTGGTGGGTTGAAAGACTCACTGGTATAAAATCTGTCGAATACCTAATAGCCGGCATAATCAAGGCAATATTTTATTCTAGAAATAGTTGTTTCTCTTCTAATTACAGAAGTAATGTTGTTAATACAGACAATTCAGCAAGCACAGAAAAATACAAAGGAAATTAAATCACTTAATAGAGATATTCTTTCACACAAAAATAAATGTTAACATTTTGGTGCACATCATTCCTGTGATTTTTCTGCTCGTGTGTGCGTGTGCATTTCAGATGCTACTGCACTAAGAGCTAAATGCAGTGAGCACTTCTCATATGAAGACACTATTCGATTACATAATTGATAATCATCTCACTTATGTTTTGATTACTTTCTTTAAAATCAGACTTCTACAACTTGATTTTTAAGGACTGCATAGTATCTCATTGTCTGACTGTATCCTAGTGCACCCTAATTTACCTAAACAATCCCGAATGGTTACATGTTTAGGTTGCTTTAAAATTTCACACTGGTAAAAAAGTGCTATGAAGAATATCACTGTACTCAGACCTCTGGGTTCATCCCTGATGACCACCTAAGGCACTGTTTGAAACATTTCATGATTTCCCCCATTATTACGTGGCTAATCAACAGGAAGTTTGTTGAATTTGAATCTGAAGGACTTGGTCAGTAAGTATCATAGCACAAGGGTTTCCCCAACGATAATTGGTCCATCAGCTGACGTGTGTTAGAAGCTGGTGGTTTTATCGTGATTTAGCGTGTGTGACATCCTGCCGAGTGCACTGTGGGCCTCCCTGTGGTCGAGAGGCGAGCTGAGAGGAAGGCAGATGAGTCTTGGGGACCTGGAGTACTGGTTAGGTTACAGACTCAGCTGCCAAGACTTTGAGACCCGACATCCCATGGCTTTGATGAGAGGTTTATTTCTCCCTCATGTTAACAGCCCAGAGGTCTGCGGTCAGGCCTGGCACGGTGGCTCTGCCTTTGAAATCACTTGCCTTTTACCTTGGAGTGTGGCTGCTCCAGCTCCGACCATCTCGTTTGCACCCAGCCAGAAGGAAGCGGGGTGCTGGCCGAGGACTGCACGCCATTCCTTGTGAGGTCAATCCCGGAAGGCCGAAGCACAGTTTCCTCTCTTCTTCCAGCTGCTGGAACTTAGTCCCATGATCAGGTACTGCAAGAGAGGCTGGGAAATGTAGTTTCCAGCTGGGTAGCCCTATGCTCAGTAAAGCCAGGTGACTGGATACTGGGGCCAAGCAGCAGTCTGGGCATTCCTTGGTCCTGGGAAGGTACTGAGGCCCCTAAGTGGTATCTCTGTCAGTTGTCGTGTTAGGTGATTACGTAGCTGGTTTGCCAGGAGGAAGTCACTGTTTCAGCTGAGCATGGCAGCCAGAGGACAAGGTCACGCCAGATGGAGGGCACGGTGGTCCCAGCACCAGGGTGCAGGGAACAGCCCTGGGCCACTCGTCGCCCTGCAGGACTTCCTACCCGCAGTTGTCCTGCCCTTGCCCGCCCAGAGGTAGCTCTGGGAATGGAACACTTGGAGGGTGATCAAGGAATAAGTTCCCGAGACAGCTGTTGTCTCGAGAACTCTTATTTTCTCTAAAGGCCTAGAGAATGTAGGGAGACCTGGCCGGGGTTAACACGTGAGGGGGGGACCTCTTAGGGGCAAAGTGAGAAGGAGCGCAGGGACTCACCTAAGATTAGCTTTGTTGGCTCCAGTGATGGGGAGATCACGTGCCAGAGTGGTCAGTGACATGGTGGAACCACCACAAAACGGGGAGAGACCCGGGCTCCAGGACCTGCCCCACCAGCTGTCCGTGCATGTGATCCGGAGCAATCTCTAGGGCCCTCAACCTCCTGCCTCATTTGTAAAGTGGAGTGATATCTGTCCCACCTGTATTACAAGGTTCTGAACCTATACATGAACCAGCCCTGAAAGCTGCAGAGCATCCTATGATTAGGGGCTGTTCCGTCAGGGTCAAGGGCATTTGACTAGGGAGAGGCTTCCCTGGAGGACTGATGGAGCAGAAGTTGTCCTAACAACCTCCTAGGGACCAGTTCAGAACAAGCCCTTCAAGACAGGAGATTCTGGCAGGGACAACTAGGTGGAATTTATCGAGTGACTGCTGTGGCAGGTGCTGTTTAATCAATCAATCTTTGGGGTCAGATGGCTCAGAGAAGTTGGAGGTCGAGCCAGAACCAGCACCACTCACGGACATCTTTCCATCTGTGAGGCCCTGTACTCCCTTCGGAATCCGGCGTCACTCACAGATTATCTGAAAGTGGCATTGTCACTTCCATCTATCTACAGGGGAGGAGCCCCAGGCCTGATGGTGGGATGCGTCATAGGGCTGAGCAGCGGGGGCCTGCACATGTACCCTCTGGATGGCTCCAAGACATGGTCTTAACCGCCATGCTTGCTGTCCCGGCTGGAACAGATAGCATGTCACATCCATTTATGCAAACTCCTGGTGGCGTGGAGACCGTGAAAACTGCAGTGCCTGGCTCATACCTGGCACTCGAATCGGTGAATGCATTTTGTGGAGTTGGTCTTACTTTCCACGACAACCCTATCCTGGGAGGTGACTATCCAAGCAAAGTAATGCATTCACCGTGGCCGCAAAGGTTCCAGTCCAGCTGGAAGACACATTTTGGGGTAACTAATTACGAGAAGCAAAAAGGCTTATTTCCTTTGTGTTTGGCTCCTACTACGCTCACATTTGCCCAGCTTGCTGGTTGCTGGAAGGGCTTTAACTGGCACTTTGGCCAAAGAGCAGGGCCTTCTAGTTATCGGGGCAGGGAGAAAACCCTCTTTGTTCTGGGCTGATGTCCCTGGCCGCTCCCTGGTTCAGAAGACGTTCACAGGGGCTGTGACAGCTGGTGAGGAACATGCTGTTCTGCTGCCCTCTTGGCTACGTGCACAGCTCTGCCCTGACCTCTGCCCTCGTGGGGTTGAGGGGATGAACACGTTAGCAGAATAACTGCTTTCAGGTTTTCTAGACTCTAGAATGGAGACATCTTTTTGGCCAGAATCTCTGTGAAAGCCTTTATAGAAAATACGACTGTCTTTATACTTACTAGGATAATATGGAGAGCAGGATTGTAAGACAAATCACTTTGGGCTCAAAACAAGTCAAAACGCACATGACAGAAATCCTTGTTAGAATAATCAGATGAGCACGTACCAGCTGTTCCCAGCACTTTAAGCAGACCCACGGTGCCTGGCTGACACCGGCCCGTAAGCGCACGGCAACTGGGGTTAGAGCAGACATTGCAGAAGCTGCAAGCAGCAAGCACACGAAGCAGCAGACCGTGGAGCAGCTGGCCGTGTCTGGCCAGTGTGGGTCCCGGGGCTCGGAGAGGTCCTTCTAGTATCTTTGACGAGAGATGGCCACCAACAGTTGAAACTCTAAGATGACAATGGTTGGCCTGGTTCCCTGGTCCCTTAACTCCCCCTGCGGGCTCAGCCCTTCCTCAGGCTCTGGGTTTGGAGGCCAAGAAATGAAGTTACATACATTAAGTACTTAATGATGCCTGGCATAAAATGAAGCTTCAATAAATGTTAACTATTTTCATAATGGACACAAGCTTTCATAAATCCCTAAGACTAATCTAACTCGCTAGATTCTCTAGCCAAAGGGCCTTTAAACTAAGGGGATACTGAAAGAAAGATATAAAAATAAGGCTCCCTGTATTTCTGCTTTTAAAGAAAGTAAACATAGTATGTTCTGTTCAGGAAGCATTTTATTGTTGCTCCAGGTTTCAGAATTTTCACTGACAGAAAATCAAGACTTTCAGAAAACCTCCCGCATCACCCTGCTCAGCTTCTGAATCTTGGTTTTTGCAGACATATCAACATATTTCTCTCCAATACGAACAATCATCCCACCCATGATTGATGGATCGATCTAGGAAAGAAAATAGGGTGGACATATGAGAACATTTACATTTCACTAATCAGAAGTGCTCTAAAATGTCTGTGTGCTACATAAATTTAAGACATTATAATTACATCTAGAAAAAGGCAGAAGTCAAATTGTGAATGCAATCAGTAATCATTTAAACTGAAAATATAAAATTTCCACCACAGGCAAATTTAAGTAGATAATGAGACCTAATTTTTCATTATCCATAGGCATTTCAAATTGACCTGAGGAAACATACCAAACATAATTAAAATCCTACCTTAACTTCCAAGTTCAGTATCTGGTTTTTACTGAGGAAGCCCTTGAGCACTGTTTTTAATTCAGAAAGAGTTGCTTCATCCAAAGGCTAAAAAAGAGACAAAACCATTTTTTAAATCTAGATCAAGTAAAACGGAAACGTCTTATCTTAAAACACTACCCTGGCACACATGGCCAGACAGGCCTGTGACCTCCTGTGTTAACATCTGGGGACCCATCGGGATCTGCCCTGCAGCAGTGGCTCAAGCTCATTGGTGCTGGTGTTCTGGGTGTGTGTAGACGTCCCGTCACCTCACAAGGACACTGGGGAGCATACACCTGGGGAGCGCACTGGTACTCGCTCACTAAAGCACAAATGCCACCCCCACCGGGGAAAAGCCCTGAGGACGTGGCCCCCGAGGGCATGCCTATTACTTCCTTAGATGATAAGCTGCGGTTTACCCTGGCTCTGTAATCTTTAAGATCCATGGCACCAGCTCCCACACAGCAGGCCACCCAGTCACTGAAAGCCCGAGGGAACGTGCACAGGGCGGACGCAGCACAGCTCGGTAATCTGTGCACACAGAGCGAGCGCTCCGTGTCCAGACTCCTCTTGTCCCAACTCTTACTCCTGGCTAGGTGAGACTGGAGGGGGCTGCTGGAGGAAAGCCTTTCACCTGCTACACACCCACCTCCCCATCTACTCGTCCACGAGGCTGAAGGCAGGAAAAAAATTACACCTTTACAAAACTCTAAGTGTCTTTTGGGGGGAGGGGTGGTAAGTTTATCAACATTCAATCAGAACATGTGCTGAGCCTGGAAGGCTAGAGAACTCTACGTGCCCACCTTCCATTCAGATGCCTACTGAGGGCCCGGTCCTGCCTGCACTAGACCTTTGCTCCCGCCATTCCTTTAATCTGGACAACTCTGAGATGCCAGCAGCTGTCGCCGTCATTTTACATGTTTGAGAACTGAGGTTCACGTGGTTAAAAACCCACCTAAGGCCCCAGCAGCAAGTGAGGACTATGCCGTACGTCTATGCCCTTGGTCATTAATCAAGGTATATATGTTTTTAAAACAGTGGAAACTCATTTACTAAGGAGTTTCAACATCGAAAGCATTAGTACTGATTTTAAAAACTTTTACGAAAATAGGCACCCTGTAAAAAACCATGTCCTTGTAATCACTGGAGAACGACCTGCACCCGTGCTTGTGACAGCGTGGCCATCGGCACTCTGCTGTCATGGAGAACTGGTGCAGTCACAGTGGGCGCTGGCAAATGCCCGAGCTGTGATGATGCTCAGCGAGGTAGGTGCTAAATAAAACGTCTCTGAAGCTGTGCTCTTTTGGAGAAGAGGTACAGCATCTTTTAGACACTAGAAATGTTAGTCTAGAGGAGGCCAGGTGCTGCAGATCCCAAATAAATTCACCATGTTCTACTGTAATTAAGCCCCACAGACTGTTTTCCTAAACTGACCGAACTACAGGAGGATGAAAAGACGTATTTAAGATAAGAATAAAATTCTGGGGATTGTCGCTTAATGAGCATAGACTGCTCAAATCCTAGTTTCACCTTTTGTGACCTAGGGCAAACGATTCCCCTGTATTCATCTGTAATATAAAGACAATGATACTCCTACTTCACATGGGTCTCTGACATCACATAAAATAAGAACTTACTAAGTACCCAGCACACGGTAGGTTTCTCTAAGTGGTGACAGCCCAGTCCAGCAAGTTGCCGAGCTTGAAAGGCCTTGGCGAAGGGCCTATCCATACTACCCTTCACCACCACCAAAGACTGGAAACTGTGGTCTCAGTCAACTACAAAATATAGTACTTATGACGTAACGCAAACCTGTAATGGAACATTAACCACTGTTCCCTGACACATTTTAACCTAGCCCACAGTCATTACGACTAAGTCGCTGGTCAGGGAAGCGCTGTAAGATGATGCACTCGGCCTTCCAAAGCAGAGGTCTACAGAAGCTGGTATGAGAACAAAGTGACAGTCTCCTTTCCTAATTTCTTGATTTTAGCTTGTTTTTGTTTGTTTGTTTGTTCTGCAAAATGTGATGCCATGAAATGCCATGGTGAATGCAGCAGCAACAACCCTGTACTTACAGATGCAGTGGTAACGGAGCAAGGTACTTCTCCTCGGTGGACGCTCATCATGGTGGAAAAGGCAGAAACGACTCCAGGGGCATTATTCAAGCGACCATTTTCAGCGAGCAAATCTGGGAAAGTGAAGATGTTTCAGTAACGTAAAACTCACTTAATATGGGTTATTCATGAGGTGTCAGATTCACCTTAAAAAAAAACTTAGATTTGTGGCCTTAAAACACTAATTCAATATCCTGAAGAATGTGAATGGAGAAGATACAATTTGTCATTTAAAAAGTATAGTCAATGTTTTTTAAAAGACTACACCAACAAGCATTTAAATCAGTTAAGGGGGGTGTATCTTAGACAGATCTGCAACAGATTTCTTGATCACAGCTTCCAATCTGCTTTTCATAATTATCTCAAAGATTCCAACGTTTGGATACAAACCCCAAATTAACATATTGTCTATATTCAAAAATGATGACATGAATACATTTTCTTTGGAACTTGTACTCTCAGTTGACCATAGGATTTGAAAAGCAATCCAAATGTACCAAAGAATGCAAATGCCTTTAAGAACAGAGGGACAGCCACTGGCTACAAACCATTTTCTTGGCACGAATCCCATTGGTTGCCTCCGTGGACTGAAACTGACTCTGTGATCAGACATTTGGACATCCTGGAATCTTTAGACAGTGCTCTTCAAACTTTAACACACAAACAATTCACTTGGGGAGCCAGTGAATATGCAGATTCTGAATGAGCAGGTCAGGGTGAGCCCCAAGATTCTTCACCGCCAAAAGGCAGGTGATGCTCATGCTCTGGGTCCATGGGCGACATTTCTAGCAGCGAAGTTTTCAGAGACTTCAGTGACAAAGATCTAATACTTACTGATCAGGTTGGACGTGAGGGGAGAAAACTTCTCTTTTGCAGCCATGTCATTCAGGCTTCTCACTTTAATGGAACGCTTTACATAGGGATTCAGAATTGAAGCAGCCATTTTGGGTTCCTTCAAAATTTGCTAAAAGTGCCAAAAAATAATTTCTTAAACTCTTTAGAGCATAAACGATCCTAGCTACTATATATATACTTTTTTGTGAATCATATATTTCGTGAATTAAATTAGCACTCTCAAAGCACAGATGAAAGTTACAATCAAATAACTTTCTCTGCCTTTAATATACCACATCACGATTTTACACAGGATAGAATTCTTGAAAAAATATGTGTAATATTATAGTTTTTCACATACTAAGAGGATGCTAGCGATGCCAAGACTCAAGTGCAGACTTAAAAAGGCGCTGTGACTGAAAAGGCGGGCCCCTTGCCACTCCCCTAGAGGGGGGCCTTTCTGTGTCAGGCCGATCTGCATCCTGTCCCACCTCGTACAGAGCTCCAAAGGACCAACCCAAACCGGCGAGAGGCCTCTGGCGTTTCCAGAACCACCTCAATTGGTCTGGAAGAGTGGATAAGAAACAGGAGTGCAACTACCACGAGAGAGACTATTTCGTCTCCATTTTACTAAGTCACAAATGTCTGGATTTGGTGATCCCAGCACAGCTTCCAGCATCTTGCTCCCGAGTATGAGGCCAGAGTTCCAACAGACCAACAGCTGTCTGCATCTGGGCATCTTTCAGTCACATGTGTCTATTAGCCTTTCAGTTACTCTGCACCTCTCCTGGGCTCCTGGCCAGAATTCCGCCTCCAACCCAGGCTGTTTGTCATCTGCTGCCGTCTAATGCAAAAACTGCAACTTGAGTGGCCAGACAGAAACAACATTTTTCCAACCAAAAAGTCTGCTGATTTATACAAATTAAAAGCATTCTGGAGTATGGGCTACTACCCAATGAACAGTTCTGACACTGTGTGTAGAATCACACTTTCCTCTCAGTGACAAAAATTGCTAATTTAAATTTACAAAGTTTTAAGAGAACTGCCTCCTTTCTATGTCTCCACATCTTTGCTGACTTCCAGGTTTTTATCAAACCCCATTCTAACATCCAAAACCCAGGTCATTCTGTTGTGAACACAACTGTTCAGGTTTAAATGGGCACAAATGACAAGCAGCAGGCAACAATTATCACCTCCAAAAATGCCTGTGTGAGCTTCCCCTATCCCACTGTGTCTCCAACAGTAAGGCTGTTGGCTCTGTGAGGGTCATACTGTAAGCTTTATCTGCAGAGATAACTGGATAAAAGGCCTATTCAGTTAAAATTATTGTCTACCGGGACAAAAGTTCCAATAAAAACATGTGAGCATCACTCTATACAATTAGTCTGTGAGGATTTCCCCCCTAAAGTAAGACCTTTAGAAATATATGGATTAAAAAAATACAAGAAATTCTTAAAACATAAAATCCAAAAAGAGAACAATTTTCTCTGGAGAGAATATGTACTGGACTGTGTTTCTCTCTCCTTCTTCAATGCAGAACCTACTGCCAGAGGTGGCAACTAGAGAGTAAATGGAGAGGGGGATGCAAGAAAATGTGTAGAAACTTGTTAACTAGAAAATTCAGCGAAATTACAGCAGAGATTCTCCTATTTAAGACAGTGTTGGCTTTTGTTAATTTGGTTCACTTACTCTACTTTCCATGTTAAAAAAAAAAATAAGGAAAGGTCCCTTGCAGCCTCGCAGCCTCCCAGTCCTTCGTCAGTTCTGTTCAGCAGTGTGGAGCCCACACGCCTTTCCTAATTTTGCTGCCCAGCACGCTCTGCTCAGTCATTTCCCCCTCCCATCTTGGGAATAAAATAATAAAAACCAAGGAAGGCTCACAAGGAAAATAAATTCCCCATAAAACAAAATCATAATAAATTCTAAAGACTACTTTGGAAAGACCTGGAACACAAGCACAGATTTTCGAAGGTGACTTTTGAAATGGCAATCTTTCTTATATTACCATTACCATATTTCTATTTCTTCTCTTAGCCTGAAATCTTGGTTCCTGATATAAATATCGTTATATGTACCTGTACCTATTATATACAGAATCAGAAAACTACCCACTATTATTATTATCAACATGATTACAGAAAATAGGTTTCTTCTTTCACAGTTCTTTTTCTGAGGATAAACCTCATTAGGGATGCACAATGAAATAACTAAAGGAAAAAAATATACAATGGGAACTTGATAAGAAAAGCTACTCACCGCCACTCTCAACAATTCCTTTTCTACTTGTTCCAGTTTGTTCTGTTTAGACGCAGCAGAATAAAGAGCAGTGGCATAGCGACCTTCGATACCATATATCTGAACAGGTGGCTTTAAAAAAAAAAAGGGTGAGGTAGGGGAGGATGGGAACAGGAATATCAGTTAAGAAAATATTAAATTATCAATAGCAGAATTGAATATTTATAATTTAAAAATATATCTTCTATAGCACCAAAAAAGTCATCAAAGAGCTATCCTGAATGGCAATTCTCAAAACAAATTAGAACTATTTCCTTGGTCAGGTCATTCAATCTTTGAGCTTCCAATTCTCATCGTACAACAACAGCCTTAGGAAACATGGTGCTAACATCCATTTCAGCTCCAGCATTCAATGATGTTAATGCTGCGATAAGCCTCTGCTTCCTTTGAATGCAATACTATTCAGTTCTAACTATGGAAGGATTTAAACACTGATAGCATGCAGTTTTGAACATGACAGAGCCAAGAAAACAGGTATTTATGAAATATGTACAAGCATACTTTTATACATTTCATAGTAATACTATAAATTTCCCTTAGAGTGCCTCATCAATATTCACTTCAGAGGAGCCCTTTAGCAATTAAAAAGTGTCTAACGCTTGAATTATTTTTCTCAATAAACTGTAGGCCTTTTTCTATACACTACCATCAACATAAAACGACATACGCTTAGTGGTGCTGAACGGTTGTAGTGAAAAAGCTTAGGCTTTGAATGAGAAAGACTTAGTTCCAGTCCAGCTCTAGAACGAAGCTGAGTAACCTTGGGCAAGTTTTCCGAGTCTCAGTTTCCTCTTTTGTATAATGGGAAGACTAGCTACTTCTTATCACTGCTGTGGAGTTTTAAGAAATTCTCATGTTTAAAGGTTATGTATGAGCCTGTCACACAGCAAGCATTCAATGTTTTTTCATTCCATACCCCCGCGCCCATGACACTTTGGGAACCACAGATCGTGCAGAAAGGTTTAGGTAGAAACTATACAAAGTCCATGCCCTAGATGTATTGCTGTTTGACTCACACTTTCATCTGCTTCATAATTACAAAAAAGTTGACCTACCCTCACAAGCTTGGCAAACGGCCTGACCACAGAGGTACTGAAGCATCGCACCTTTAAAAAATAAAGCAGATCAACAGAGTTTACTTGAAAGCTTTCTTTACTTGAACCAATAACAAGAAATTTTCAATTTGACTTTTAAATAGTTGGTTTGTTGTTTCTTTGTATCATTACATAGATTACATGTGGGTTAGTTTTTCTTTATTACCTAGGAGTAAATTTCCCCGCTGAGAATCATCCCAAGTTGCTTGGGAAACCGCCTTTTCACTAACTCTCTAAATTGCTAGGAACAGGCTGAAGCGACCCACCAGTACGAAAGAGAAAACACTCATTTTAATGAAGTACCTGTTTTTAAAAATTTCAGCAAGATTTTTAGCATTTATACTACCACCCTTGAGCAGGATTTTAATAAAAAGTGAGGATTCCAGTCATGATTTGTAAAAGGTGTATCTTCTTCGAATCTAAATGCTATCTGAAAATTAACCCTTGAGTATTGCAGCAGAGTATGATGTGAGAACAGGCCGCAGTTCTGAGAGACGGTATCTGGTCTATCTAGGGAGAGTTGGAATCTGTAGTTAAAAATGCACCTGCAAGGGCACAGGTCACCTTCAAATAACTCCAGCTCTGCAGTGTACTAAACCAAAACTGGTTGTGAGAATTGAAAGACTTTTTAACACTTATGGAAAAGTTATCTAAGCTATTAAAGGAAAGCAACGTGTATGTAGTATGAAGAGCACGAACGTCCCAATTCCACCTTGTTTGAATCTCAGTTCTACCCCTTATGGGCTGAGCAGCCGAGGACGAATCATTTAAAGTTTTCTGTCTCATTTCTTTTATAAAAGATGTTAGATGTGCTTTATAAATATTCTTTGCATTACTAATAACCGCTGATAGGTTTAATCGCAACGACAAAGGATGCTGATTGGGAATGGGCCGGGTCCTTTACTCGCAATCCGGGGAAGCTGGGCCCCCATCTCCCGTGGCCCTCAAGCCTGCTGCTTCCTGGAACTGTGCTCAGAGGACGCCGAGGTCAGGCACGCGCAGCCCCGTGCCCACTGCCCCGTGGACGTCCCCGGGTGGGGAAGCGGGGCTTCCTGAACCTCCTTGCGTCGACCCCACTCGCCGGGCCCCACGACCCTGAACGGCGGCCACGCTCCCCCAGCTGTAGCCTCGCATCGTGTTTCTAGGGGTCTGGTACGGGTCACCCCAGGAGAGATCTTCCCGATGGCTTTCAAGACCTCCATTCTCTCACCTGCCGGGACAGCCCTGACACTGCGGGAGCGGCCATCTTCTCCCGGGCGGCTGTAGGTCAAACCCGAGCTGGAAGAGGCGCGAGGGCGCATGCGTGCGTCAGCGTAGCCGCTCGGTCCGCTGGGAAATGTAGGCTTAGCTCATCAGGCCGCATGCGCAGAGACCTCCCTTGGGCTGGGAGTCGTAGTCCTTAGAAGCTGATGGTAAACTACAGGCCTGGGGGTGGGGCTAAGGGTTCAGCACCTGAAAATGAAATCCTGAGTAATTGACTAAGTGGCCCTTTCTGTAAAATGAATTTATTGTCCCTAGTTAAAAAATTTCCATTTAGGCAAATGCGGCGGCATTTGTTCCATTTCACATTCACCATTAACATCTTTACCATTCTTCCAACTAAGCCAGTTCCTCTAGCTGTGTTATGAAAACGAACCTTAACAGCTCCAGCAGCGGACATTAGGTGCCCAGTACTTGGGATACGACTGTCCCTTCATCCCCACTCAATACCATCTCACCTGAGTGTAGCAATCATCTGTTGGACTGGCGTTTGAGCAAGTGTGACATTGAAACTGAGAACGCGGCCCTAGCCTTGGCCAGTTTTTCCGCATTCATAAAAACAAGCTATTTTTAACCTATTTCCCCCTAAATGGAGCTTGCTCTAGTTTTCCTTTCTGTACAGAATAGAATTGGCCGGCAGAGAACGGGGTTGGAGTTTCTTGGTTGCAATAATGGAGTCTTGTGGTCAATTAGAACTCGGTCCCCCTGACCCGCCCCCGCTCAGTTCTATTATAGGAACACAGATTAATTCCTAATTCACCCTTTTAAAATGCAGTTTTCTCACCATTACAAAAAACTTGTAAAAATGCAGAAAAGTAGAGGGAATGTAATTGCCTTCTTTTCGACCAGTGAGAGGCTTCTCTTGTCAGTATTTATTCATGCAGTAGCCAGAACTGCCCAGACTTGAATCCCAGTCCTTTCGGTGACCTTGGCCCAATCATATAAATTCTCTGCGCCTCAGTTTTCTTTTCTATTAAATGGGTGTTATATGTAATAGTACCTGCCTTATAGGTCGTTAGGAAAAATAAGGAAATTAATATACAAGTGCAGTATTTCGTAGAATTACCTAACAGAGCGGCACTCAATAACCTTAGTTCTTCATTTTGTGTTTGTTTTTATTATAAATACAAACTCACAATCTGTATATAAGTTAGTATACTGCCTTTTCCCTCAATACAAGATACAAAAAGATACTAAATTATATATGGCTTGTGAATACATGCTTAAAATGTAATATAAGCATATTTCCAAGTTGTATAATTTTCATAA